TCGGGGACCTGAGCCAGCTGGACCTGCCCACCATGAGGAAGATGAAGCAGACGATCTCGTCGAGCCGCGTGTGTCAGGACGGGGAGACCCAGGCTAGCATGAGGGGGCCTTCTAAGGAGGAAAAAGAGGTAAAAACTACTGTCTTAAAACTGTCATTAATGGTCCAAGGTACAAGTAACAGCTACCGGATTATTGATAGTTCTTATCGGCAGGAATGAAGGAGGGACCTGGTAAGATTTACGCATCTTGTAAACCACACCGCAGACCTTTTGTCCCATCATTTCAAGACCATTCTGTGTTAGGCAGACACATTCTGTGCATGTTTTGAGGTTCATTTCGGTTGTTTTCCTCCTTAGCTGGACCGGAAGCTGCTGTCGGCGGAGATGGCCAACCCGTCCTCAGTCACGGCCGACACGCTGAACAGTCTGGTCGGCTCGCTGGCGGAAATGCAGCCTTCAGAGATAGAGAACCTGAACGCAGACGCTGTGGTGGGCGCCATAGAAACCCTGGCTGGAGAGGACTTCTCCTGGGCAGAGGTAGGATTCTTGCGATATTTTATTTTACAGACTTTTAAGTTTGAAAAAAGTTTTTTTTTTCAAAACTCGCTTGTTCAGGTATTACTGTACAGGGTAAGACCCATTTTACCAGACCCCGACTCACTCCACGAGTCCACAGTACTTGATGGTCTACCCATTACTTGTGGCCCTGGTGTATCCACAACCGCGCTTTGTCCAGAAGACCAGAAACATGTTCGGAGCTCCGACACGGTCCTAGGCGATCCAAATGTCTCTGACAAATCTACGCTCTTAGATCGGGGTGGAGGGAGATGTACAGAACCGTGCCAAACCCTAACCTTAACCATTCAGGCATTTGAAGAACGAGGCATGGTTCTGAATGCAGCACGTAGACCAGATGATCAACAGCCTAAATAAATACACCTGGCCTTCTTCAAGACCTGACTAGACTGATCTTCCATGACTCTGACGTCTCTATCTTCTTGTTTCAGGCGAGGACTGTCATCGACAAGTTCAAGTCCGGATCGAGCGTCAGCGGGGCCTTCTCTGCAGCCCAGGTGAGTCTGCTGTACATCAGTTCACTTATATCAGTGTTTGTAAGTGTATACTAGTAACTAACGGAAATCTCACCAACCGAACCAGGTGAGCATGTTGTACATCAGCTGACGTTAAGGTAAATGGAAACTGTAACGTTTGGAGTGTCGTGTTAGTAGGTCGTGGGGACTTTTAGAGATGCTACATGTATAACTGCCGAGTTTATCTATAGAAACTGCAGGAACTTCGTCTGTAGGTGAACTAAGGTAGACTGTAGGTAGGTCTGGTAAGACGTGACGTATAACTAACGGAGATCTCACCAACCGAACCAGGTGACCTCCCTTGGGAAACTTGTCGCCAAGCTGCCCCTGGACGAGCTGGATCAGATGGACGACGCTGACGTCCGCAGTGCCATCTCCACCTTCGCCAGCGCCAAGAGCGACATGAGCCCCGCACAGGCCAAGAAGATCGCCAAGAAGGTGGGCCGGTCTTCCTCAAACCCTTCCACAGAATAGGGAATTATGGGCAAACAGCTGCATTGTCATGGCAACGCCTGTATGGCGCATGCGTGCTGTGTCCAATCCTTGTTGTCATGGTAATGGTTTTGTTTGCAAATTGCGTTCTCCGTTTTTGTAGCCTACCAAGGGATCAGTAAATGGTCTACTGAGAACCTTTTGACATGTCGACAAGGTTAAGTGCCATTTTTCCGATAAGCTAAACTGACGACAATCTAATCACAGTGGTAGAGTTCACTTCGTGAGTGACATACAGAAATTCAAGAGTTTCGATAAATCTTGGCCGTTTTCGTCTGCCTGACTTCCTAACCACCGGAAAGGGTTCAAATCCTTCTGAGGACAGATTGTCCGTTACGCCGGACGCCTGGTGTTTTAAAAGGAGAGTCTTACCCCCAGCACGTTAAAAACACCCACATTAATCAGTCAGTAAGAGTGAGAAGATCCATGTTGCTTCCCCAGGCCCGGAACGGGAACCTACTGGACCAGCTGGGATCCGGAGAGATCGACGCTTTCTTCGACGCCCTTCCTCTCAACGAGATAGAGGACATCGCTTCCGAAATCACCGCTGATATCGCCAACGGAGACTACAGCAAGTACAGCGGTCTGGAAATGACTGAAGCGCAGGTACGTCAGAGAGAACCTTCTCATTATCATCAGTACTTCATCAGAACCTGATTTGTGCCAATCAAACTTGTACATGTGGGCAGACCAACATTTGATTCCGTCTTTCCGCAGGCCACGTACCTGTTTGAAGTGATGGAGTCGGGACTGAGCGGAGAGCTGGACAGGGACACTGTGATGTAGGTTGGCCACTTTGTCTTTGTAGCTACAGAATTAAAGCTAGGGGTTCTTCCCTTTGGGTTTTGTTACGTGGTTCACAGCTAAATAAAAAGCCTCTTCACAGATTATGCACAGTTGCTGACGTCACGGTTCGCAAGGTTAAACTGAAGACAGTATGACCAACGAGGTTCTAAATTTGGCAATGCCTCTCTGTTGCTACGGAAACCTTAACGTCGTCTCTCGTCTCCCACAGATCCATGGGCAACGCCATTGCCGGGGCGGGGGAGGACGTGCTCGATCTCATCTCTAACGACAACTTCGCAGAAGTCATCGGCGCCATGTCTGACCAGGCGGACTTCGGCGCAGCCATGGTGAGGGGAGGGCTTTTTGTCTATATTATATATATATAGGCATCAGGTGGCGATACATATAGCGGCTGTGTGCATCTCCCTCCATAATGTTTTACTTTCCATCAATCCTGACCCCGTACCGATATACCGATACAGATACGTGTTTGTAATTTTCCCCACAGAACAGGAAGATGGCGAAGCGCCTGGAAACCGAGATTATCTCCGCCTTCGACCAGATGTCCCAGACAGATCTGGACACCATTCCCGCTGACGTCATGCCTGACGTGTCGTAAGTCTTTGTTCTCAGCTAGCTCCGCCCCTGAGGCGTCGCCAAAAAGCGCGTCAACAGAGATCGCAGCAAATAGCCTGCTAGATTTCCCAGCCAAACCATACACACTATCGTCTTCTTTTGATACAGCGTATTGCTCGTGAAGCTGGTGAATACGCTGTTTTTAAACCTCTCTCTGTTTCTGTCTCCAGGACAGAGAGTCTAGATGACGTGCCGGCCGGCCTGTGCGGAGCCGTGGCCCAGAAAGTTGCCGGTTCTGACCGCCTGTTCAACACGCAGGAAATCCGGCAGCAGAAGCACGCCAGGAACGCGCTCAAGTGTCTGGTACGGTACCACGTTTTTATGCTACAGTGCGTTTTGCAAATGGCAAATGTTCGACATGACAGACTAAACTGCAACATGACAGACTATACTGCAACATGACAGCTTGAACTGCCACATGACAGACTGAACTGTGCCACATGAAATGCTGAGAACCTTTGCGATGTTCCTGCAGGGCAAGGAGACGAGCGGGGACCTGGGTGAGGCTGACATGGCCACTCTGGGGAACCTGATCTGCGGTGCTGAGGACGCGGTTCTGGACAGGGTCGACGCTTCCGGGGCCAAGACTGCCCTGGAGAACCTGCAGAACTGCCCGCCAAAGTGCCTCACGGAGGACAAAAAGACCAAAATTCAGGAGCTCTTCGGCAAGATGACGGCGTGAGTAGACAAATATGTTTTTGCGAACCACCCAAGGAAATAATTTTCCCAGCCTTTGTCAAGTAGCACATATTCCTGAAACCGGCCTGCTGAATTTTATTTGTTTGTTTGTTGATTGCCGTTGCCTCCCAACAGTGACGCCCAGGCTAGTCAGATCGACACCGACTCCCTGGCAGCCATTGGGAAGAACGCTTTCTGCCTGCCAGACGCCACCCTCTCAGGGATCCCCAACGTAAGTACCGGTACTTCCAGCTGCCGCAATGGTTCCGTTTGGTTCCTACAGCATGGAGAATTTCCTCACTTCCAGTAGGCAGATCGTAGTCACCTATACCATCGTGCCCTCCGCTGTGAGCCTGACGTCACTGTTTCAGTTCCGTTAAACACCTTCCATCATGTTGGTTTGTGTCCGTTAAACACCTTCCATCATGTTGGTTTGTGTCTGTGCGCAGGACGTGGTCTCCAATGTTCGCACCTCCCTGGTGGACAGCGTGGACATGGCTGCAGAGGAGGCGCTGACAGAACAGGACAGCAGCTGCGGAATCGACAGGTAATACAAACGCCTCTCTCCGGAACGCGCCATTTTAGCGTGCTCCAAATAAGCACACAGGTATAATTAGCGGATTTATGGACAAGCTCCTGACAGATGGAAATGGTCGCAATTAAAGTCTGAATCGGTTTGGCAAACTCGTCTTTCCATTTTGCACCACTTTGAGCCCTCGGCAGAACCGAATGAAAAATCACTAACTGCTTTCTTGCTTACTTGCTTGATGAATTGGCGGGTTGTGTCCTTGTGCTTGACTGGTTGATGTAAACTCGCGAGTTAAATGGCCTGTCCGTTATTTCCAGGGCCGCGCTGCTTGCTAAGGTGAAGGAGGCTGAGGCGGGATCGGCCAGCTCCCGGCGCAAGAGGCAAACCACAGGTCAGCACATGCCAAACCTCTGTCTCCACTTTCATCATTTTCCCACGGAATTAAATTACGTTTTGGACCTGTCAGAACCATCCAACCCTCCCACTATTTTGCTTGACTGTCACAAAAACACACTAGTGTACCCCAGTCTCTGACTGCCGTTTCCTGCCGTTTTCCCAGTGCACACCTGTACCCCAGTCCCTGACTGCCTTTTCCTGCCGTTTTCCCAGTGTACACCTGTACCCCAGTCCCTGACTGACTTTCCCTGCCGTTTTCCCAGTGCACACCTGTACCCCAGTCCCTGACTGCCTTGTCCTGCCGTTTTCCCAGTGTACACCTGTACCCCAGTCCCTGACTCACTTTTACTGCCGTTTTCCCAGTGTACACCTGTACCCCAGTCTCTGACTGACTTTTCCTGCCTTTTCCCAGTGTACACCTGTGCGCAGGTGCAGGACCTTGGTAACGCGGCCGTGAGCCTGACGGAAGCCGAGCTGGGCGCCATGACAGCTGCGGAGTTCGCCAACTGCGTGGAGACTCTTGGCGGGCTGACTGGCTGGAGCGCCGGCCAGCTGGAGGTCATGAGGGACAAAGTCTTCACCGTAAGACATTTGCAGTCTTGTCTTTAGTAGGCACTGATAGGGGCAACTGATAGATCTTCGGCACCCGTAGTAATGGTTTTGGCCAATGATATCCTTTCCCCGTCATCTCTCACCAGTAAAGCATGTAGACATGTAGAATCCTTCTTCGCCACTGTAAGTCGGCATCTCTGCTCACCAGTGTAATATGACACCCCTAGTCACCAGTGTAACATGACACCCTGGTCACCAGTGTAATATGATATTCTTGTGTGTTCCCTACAGGACGTGGCAGCAGCTGGCTCCCTGACGACCGACCAGATCCTCACGCTCGGTAAGATCGCCACGGCGTTCACCACCAGCCACCTGTCCGCTCTGGACCTGTCTGACATCGACGCCGTCTACAGCATCGCCCAACACAGCGGCTACAGCGCTGCTCAGGTCTGGACAAATGTTTATCACGTTATCTAAACCACTACAGTCTAAGCTGATTCTGTAACATTTTGTCTTACTTCATGTAATCCAGAGCCGCTACAATACCAGGAGGATGTTGTTAGGATAGTCGGAGTTATCCACTTTAACACTGAAAGCTTCATGTAGCTTGCCGAGAACTTGTGTCTCACATCACGCGTCTTTCCTTCCTCCCAGACCGAAGCTGCCTTTACCAAGTACCTGGGCAGCGGCGCGGTGTTACAGAGAACTTATGTCTCACATCTCGCGTCTTTCCTTCCTCCCAGGCCGAAGCTGCCTTTACCAAGTACCTGGGCAGCGGCGCGGTGTTACAGAGAACTAAGCGAGCACCTGGTGGGCCTGTCCAACTTCCTGGGCGGCATGACGACCGCTCAGATCGCGCAGATCGACAACGCCGCCTTCCAGTACGTAACGGGGCTCAGTCAGCCCGCAACTGCTCACAGAGTGGTTCTGGTATTTTGTGAATCAGGATTGTCGTTTGTGTTATTTTTGCGTCCCTATCGAACAGTGCCTATTGAGCAGTGCCTATTGAAGGTAGCAGGCAAACTATTATGTCTTTTCTAGTTTAAAAAACTAGAAAATACACAGATCCAAATGACAAAGAACATAAAACTGATACGTAAACGTCCCCTGTGTCTGACCGCTTGCGTCTGTGTTTGCAGTACAGTTTTTGTGTGTTTTGCCGGTGAGCTTTTCCCACCATGAGGGGGTGAAGTCTGCCATCTCTAACTGCCCTGTGTGTGTGGGTAAGGGGGTGAAGTCTGCCATCTCTGACAGCCTTGTGTGTGTGGGAAGGGGGTGAAGTCTGCCATCTCTAACTGCCTTGTGTGTGTGGGTAAGGGGGTGAAGTCTGCCATCTCTAACTACCTTGTGTGTGTGGGTAAGGGGGTGAAGTCTGCCATCTCTGACTGCCTTGTGTGTGTGGGAAGGGGGTGAAGTCTGCCATCTCTAACTGCCTTGTGTGTGTGGGTAAGGGGGTGAAGTCTGCCATCTCTAACTGCCTTATGTGTTGTTTAGGGACGCTGCGGCCAACATCGGGACGCTGGCCGGGCTGAGTTCTGACCAGCTGACGGCCCTGAAGAACAAGGCGGTCTCCGCTAGCGGCGCGGTCAGCTCCTGGTCCGCAGCAACTCTCAAAAACTTCGGCACTCTGGCAGGTTAGTTTCTCTTTACATCTACATTGTGCGCATGGAGTAGCTCTAGATAAGGTTGAACTCTGCTTTAGCTAAGTCTGAACCATGTTTAGGACAATTTATGATAACTGTTTGATTTGTCAATTCGTCATTAACTAGATGTGCGATGAGTACTCTGTTCATTAACTTGTTAACTTGTCGTTAACCAGCCGGTATGGAGGCACGTTGTTCATTAACTTGTTAACTTGCCGTTACCCAGCTGGTCTGGAGACGGCTGAACTGTCTGCCCTGACGAACGCCCAGGTTCCGGAAGTCTCTCCCGCCGCCATTCCACTCTACCCGACAAGCACCTTCTGCGTGAGTTCCGAGTTTTCTGGTTGGTTTGTTGGAAGATACGGCCTGTAACTGGAAATGTATTTGAAGTAAGCGACTGTACAGAACATGCCAGCATCTAGTAGAATTCTCACTCAAGAAGGCAACATTTGTGAGAAGTTCATTCCTTTACCAGATCATGTGCCTTTTACACAAAAAGCCCGAAAGGCCCCAGATATAAATGTTTATTTGAAAGCTGCAGAAAACGGTAACACGTTTGTTTTTCTCCCCAGGGCGGATTTTCTGTGGACCAGCTGAACCTGTTCACCATGGAGCAGGCGCAGGCCGTGACAAACGAGCAGTACTTCGCCTGCTCCGCCGCGNGTCACTCACTCATTAATTCACTCATTCACTCATTCATTCATTCAATTTCCCGTTACAGGAGTCGGTGCCGTCCACGCATGCGTGATGCTGGTCTTCTCCGCTGTTCTCGTCCGTCTGCTGTGATGACGTCACGCCACTCTGACGTCACGGGTGATGACGTCACGCCACTGTGACGTCATGATGTTACCATAGCTGCATGCTGCATTGCCGTGTGGAAATTGTGTGCCTGTTTAAAGTTTGACTAAAACTTTGGACTGTCTCTTTAGATATCGACTTGGAAATGATGATAGTACCTCAGGGAGTCAGCTGTATAGATAGTTTTGCATCGACAGGATTAATGAAATAAGATATTGTATTTCTAAAACTGAAGTACCTGTTTAAAGATGTAGCAAAGTTAAACTGGAAGGTTCTGCATACAGGGTGAAGTACTAGCCTCCTTCGCAGTCTTGTCGATTTGCTGCCGAGGGACTTTTGCCACGGAGAGAAGGTTTCCGCGCAACTTGTTGGAGCGCGGAAACCTTCTCTCCGTGGCAAAAGTCCCTCGGCAGCAAATCGTCCCTCGTGGCGGCATATTACTCGCGTCGCTCAGAGAAAAAATTACGCCCACGCCCAACAAGACTGCGAAGGAGGCTAGTGAAGTACAACGATCGTGCAGTAAGATTCGTCCTTCCGAAATCTATTTTATATATTATATATACTTGTTCACATTCAGCTACAGAAGACCCTTTTTGTATAAATCTTCACTATCATCGTTTTTATACTAAAGTACGCCGGTCGTTTTGCGTCGTCTGATTTTACTTCCGACGGTGACATCATCAGCCTTGTCCAAGGCTCTCACTACTGACCTATGACCTGTGTTAGGATCTGCTTTCTGCACACTTCAGCTTTTCAGCCATCAGAAATATGTTTTGTACACCGCCTAAATAAACAAACAAACAATCAAACCTACGCTGTTGTGAGATACGTGCCGGCGTGAGTTACAGGAAACAGAGCTTTAGTAGGCATGGAGGCAGCAAAACCGAAACTAGCACACGAGGTCAAAACTTTAAGGTCCGCTTGTAAATTGGTTTTGATGACCTTGAGCTTCTGAACGACATTGACGTGTTTACCTTTGGTTACCATGGAAACCAGTGTGCAACAGTAACCGGGCTTTTATCTGCATTGTTGGTCGGTTTTACTGATCATTGGCGGCTGCTGACTGAAATATCTCTAGACCTGTTCTTACGCTAAGCTTTCATAGGTTCTCTTCCGACGATGATGACAACCAAAGGCGATGTTGCTTGGTTGTGTCATCGCTGTGTTTTTTTACTGAATGCATGTTTGGAGACATTAAAATCTATTTTCTACAATTGCTATCCGCCTTTTATTCATAACTAGCCACAGTGTACAATTTTGTTGTAGTTATTTTCATGACTGTTATTCACATGCAATAAAAAGAATGTAACATAGTGAGTATAATATACTGATAACGTAACTTCAGCAACGCCACTCAAGTTGATTCATGTTGATGAGACGATGGCAGAGTAACGCAGTTCCTCAGTCGTTCCACCACAACTCCGCAACTCCGCCATGATGTTCTGAGCATTAAAGCTCCGTCCTGGTGAGTTGGACCTGCGCTTCTTCTAGTGGCTCATTCACTTTATACAATACACTAATTTGTCCACTTATGGTGTGATGGGCACATGTGATGGTAAGTTTTAAAATGAAAATTTATGCGTTAAGTTGTATTTTTTTACTCCATGGTTGTATGTAAATAATGTTTCAGTTTTTATGTAGTTTGTACGATGAATGTCTGTTACTCCAGGAAGACTATCTACTTGTCTGCTTGTACTTGTATGCGTGCTAAGGCCATGTTGATTTGATTATATTGGATAATATTCTATGGAAACCCCAAAACTGATGCGCGCGTGCGAGTAAAAAACGTTTGGCTAAAAGTTTCCTTATTTTGTACAAATGATTAAACACACGAGTATGGCATGGCGAATTATAGACTCTTCATTTTCATTTCTTCACATCTTCTTCTTTTCCTGAATTAATTTCGTCATTCTACGACATAAGCATCCAATACTTTTTTTTCAACATTCGACATATATTCGCCCATTTTGTACGATTTACAGTATAGTCGAAATCTTGTTTTTAAATTGACGCGCGGACGTCATCCATATAATCACATCAGGAAGTAAAGCACCTGAAGCTGCCAGGTGCCGTTCCATTGTGTGACCTTTAACTCACAGGTCACAACATTTTCAGAAGAAAGATGGCGGCCATCGTTTGGAAGATTTCTACAAGCTGAACTTTTACTCGTGAGTAGCAGTTTAATCCTTCATATTCTACTCTCCGGACTGTTGCGGATATCTTGTGTTGTTTATCATCACGTCAATGCATTTAGGATGGGGTGGGGGAAACATGGTTACATGCCCATAGCTAGAGCAATAATAAGAAACAATTTTGTTTGAAATGTAGCCTCGGGCCACTTTTGTTTGCATCCTCTTACATTAGCCCGATCTTAAGTACAAGACTAAAAGACAGGAAGCAAAAGAATCCCTCCAACAGTCGCCGCGGCTGGTTCAAAATAATACTAACAAGAAAGCAGAGAAACGTTTAAACACACCGTCCGACATGTTGCTGTCTGTTACTTAGTTTAGCCCTTGGAAAAAGTGTGTGAACCCTACAAGGAAAAGAATTATGTTAATCATGTTAAAATGAATTAACATGCATTAAATAATTAAAAAGAATTGCAAATTAATTCTCAGTTGAAATTGAATACATACAACAATTACTGTAGAAAAGAAAGGTTTTAAATGTCTTGAAACATGCATTCAGTGAAACACACAGCGATAACACAAAAGACAGCGGGGTGGGTGAGTGAGTCATCATCATCGTAAGAGAACCAATAAGCTCAGCGTAACAATTAAAAACAGCTCCAGAGACATGAGTACAACAACTTTCTGTCGCCAGTCAATAATATTGACCAAGAATGCAGATAAAATCCCGGTTATTGTTACAAATCAGTTTCCATGGGAACGGATGGTAAACACATTATTGTCGTTCTCAAGGTCTTCAAAATTAATTTACAAGCGGACCTTCAAGTTGTGACGTCATGTGCATCGGTTTTATTGCGAAGAGTTTTGCATACTAAAGCCCTGTCTAATGTTGGGATGAAAGCTCATCTGGTAGAATACATAATTGTAGAGTTGGAACAAAGTTTGAACTTTACAACTATAAAACTCTGTCTATTGTGTAACTCACAGTAGCGCAGGTGGTCTATAAAACTACAGGTGTAACAAAACGTATCAAATTACATCCTAGCACATGTCATTGGTCAGTCCAAGACCAGGTTTTAACTGACTCATTTGCATAGAAGTACACACAAAATTGAAAACATACAAGGTAGTATGGAAACATGATGATAGGATACATATAGAGTATTTTAGGAGGACATATATTAATTTACAGTTTTCTATATTTTCGGAAGCAGCAAACTAAAGCAATCTGAATAAAAAATCTAGTTCTACAGTGATAGAAATGAAGGTTGAATCTTACTGCATAGTGACTGCATTTTACCCTGTAAAACTCTCCAACTTAACTGCATTTTACACTGTAACTCCATCTTAAATTAGGTGCATTTTACCCTGTAAAACTCTCCATCTTAACTTAGCTACATCTTTGAGAGATATTTAAGTTGTAGGAGTACAAACTCTTTTACAAAGTGAATTTAAAAATCCCATCGTTTTTAGTCAAAAAGTAAAAAAAAGCAAACAAAAATTTCCACACGGCAACGCAGCATACAGCCATGGTCCCGCCCATGACGTCAGAGCGGCGTGACGTCATCACAGGAGACGGACGAGAACAGCGGAGAAGACCAGCATCACGCATGCGTGGACGGCACCGACTCCTGTAACGGGAAACAGATTGTCATGCTGCGTTTATGGCGAATCTGGCCTAAGACAAATTTCGACAACAGGGGAAACAGCGAAGAAAAACGTAACATATTGCTACAGTGAATGACTGGATGAATGAATGAATGAATGAATGAAAAAAATGAATGGATGAATGAATGAGTGAATGAATGAGTGAGTGAATCGGAATGAAAACATGAATGGATGACTGAATGAATGAGTGTGAGTGAGTGAGTGAGTGAGTGAGTGGGTGGGTGGGTGGGTGGTTGAGTGAGTGAGTGGGTAGGTGAGAGAGTGAGTGAGTGAGTGAGTGAGTGAGTGAGTGAGTGAGTGAGAATGAGTGCCTGAGTGAATGAGTGAGCGAGTGAGTGAATGAATGAACAGCTCACCGCTTGAGCGGTTGGGAGCGTCGTTGACGTCGTCCGCGCCGTACTGGGCCAGGTCGATGGCGCCCTGCTGCGCGGCGGAGCAGGCGAAGTACTGCTCGTTTGTCACGGCCTGCGCCTGCTCCATGGTGAACAGGTTCAGCTGGTCCACAGAAAATCCGCTCTGCGGAGAAAACAGCCGTGTTACCGTTTTGGCCCATTTTGTGACCAAACATGTAAATTTGTTATACCTGCTCCATTACTGAAGGGCAATGCATTTGCCTGTAAAATCTGTTATTGTAATGCATTCGCCGCAAACGCTGGCTTTTTATTACGAATCTTAAATGTTCTATATTGAAGCCGCCATGCTCACTATTGTGTCCTGACCCCCTTATATTCACTTACTTTAAAATACGTTAAAGCTGCATTTTTGTTACAGGTGGAATCTTCCCAACCAAAGAAGAATCAAGCCGGAACTCACGCAGAAGGTGCTTGTCGGGTAGAGTGGAATGGCGGCGGGAGAGACTTCCGGAACCTGGGCGTTCGTCAGGGCAGACAGTTCAGCCGTCTCCAGGCCGGCTGGGTAACAAGTTAACAAGTCAAGTTAATGAACAAGGCAAGTACAAAGCAAATGCACCTCACACTTTACTTTGTGTTATCCAAAACGTGGACATGGTCACCACTTAATCACCACTGATTCAGAGAGGAATTCGCCCTCGTGTAAACCACATTGACGGCAGGTTAGTTTATAGATTTTTTACTGGGGAATAACAAGAAAAGCAAAAATATGTTACGGTCCTGACATCCCCCTCCTCCTTATAACCTCTTCCTGGTTATTTCAACAACAAAGTAAGAAAAGTCATGATTAATTGGCCGTCAGGTAAGCAACAGCGTAGTTTCAGCTTCTCCTGTTTGGTGGCAAGTTATGTGGAGTGTCTTCCATGGGAGACAATTGTTTTCATCACCTGTCCTGCCTCGTTATCCATGGAAAATTCAAATAAATAAGTAAACAAACAAACAAACAAACAAACCTGCCACAGTGCCGAATTCCGCTAAGTCAGCGGCGGACCAGGAGCTGACCGCGCCGCTAGCGGAGACCGCCTTGTTCTTCAGGGCCGTCAGCTGGTCAGAACTCAGCCCGGCCAGCGTCCCGATGTTGGCCGCAGCGTCCCTAAACACCACACAAGGCAGTTAGAGATGGCAGACTTCACCCCCTTCCCACACACACAAGGCAGTCAGAGATGGCAGACTTCACCCCCTTACCCACACACACAAGGCAGTTAGAGATGGCAGACTTCACCCCCTTACCCACACACACACACAGGCAATTAGAGATGGCAGACTTCACCCCCTTACCCACACACACAGGGCAGTTAGAGATGGCAGACTTCACCCCCTTACCCACACACACAGGGCAGTTAGAGATGGCAGACTTCACCCCCTTACCCACACACACACAGGCAATTAGAGATGGCAGACTTCACCCCCTTACCCACACACACACACAGGCAATTAGAGATGGCAGACTTCACCCCCTCATGGTGGGGAAAGCTCACCGGCAAAACACACAAAAACTGTACTGCAAACACAGACGCAAGCAGTCAGACACAGGTGACGTTTACGTATCAGTTTTATGTTCTTTGTCATTTGGATCTGTGTCTTTTCTAGTTTTTTTAAACTAGAAAAGACATAATAGTTTGCCTGCTACCTTCAATATGTACTGCTCAATAGGCACTGTTCAATAGGGACGCAAAAAATAACACATTAACGACAATCCTGATTCACAAAATGCCAGAACCACTCTGTGAGCAGTTGCGGGCTGACTGAGCCCCGTTACGTACTGGAAGGCGGCGTTGTCGATCTGCCCGATCTGAGCGGTCGTCATGCCGCCCAGGAAGTTGGACAGGCCCACCAGGTGCTCGCTGGTGATGGCGGACACCGCGCCGCTGCCCAGGTACTTGGTAAAGGCAGCTTCGGTCTGGGAGGAAGGAAAGACGCGTGATGTGAGACACAAGTTCTCGGCAAGCTACATGAAGCTTTCAGTGTTAAAGTGGATAACTCCGACTATCCTACCAACATGCTCCTGGTATTGTAGCGGTCCTGAAGCCAGACAAATGTGACTGTAGTGGTTTAGATAACGTGATAAACATTTGTCCAGACCTGAGCAGCGCTGTAGCCGCTGTGTTGGGCGATGCTGTAGACGGCGTCGATGTCAGACAGGTCCAGAGCGGACAGGTGGCTGGTGGTGAACGCCGTGGCGATCTTACCGAGCGTCAGGATCTGGTCGGTCGTCAGGGAGCCAGCTGCCGCCACGTCCTGTAGGGAACACGCAAGGATATCGCGGGTGCTAAAGATCAATTACGTCGGTGAAGGTTAGACATCCAGGTAATACGGATACGCCTAAAAGCAGCTACTCAAGCAACTGGGTATGTTTTTGGATATGATTTGGATCTATCAGTTGCCCCTATCACTGCATACTATAGACAGACTACAGATGTCTTACGGAGAAGACTTTGTCCCTCATGACCTCCAGCTGGCCGGCGCTCCAGCCAGTCAGCCCGCCAAGAGTCTCCACGCAGTTGGCGAACTCCGCAGCTGTCATGGCGCCCAGCTCGGCTTCCGTCAGGCTCACGGCCGCGTTACCAAGGTCCTGCACGTCCGCACAGGTGTACACTGGGAAAACGGCAGGACAAGGCAGTCAGGGACTGGGGTACAGGTGTGCACTGGGAAAACGGCAGGACAAGGCAGTCAGGGACTGGGGTACAGGTGTACACGGGAAAACGGCAGGAAAAGGCAGTCAGGGACTGAGGTACACTCGTGTGTTTTGTGACATTTAAGAAGAACAGTGGGAGGGTTGGATGGTTCTGACAGGTATGAAATGTGTTTTAATGCCGTGGGAAAATTACGGAAGTGGAGACAGGTTTGGCATGTGCTGACCTGTGGTTTGCCTCTTGCGTCGGGAGCTGGCCGATCCCGCCTCAGCCTCCTTCACCTTAGCAAGCAGCGCGGCCCTGGAAATAACGGACAGTATCATTTAATAATTAACTCGCGAGTTTACATCAACCTTAGCAAGCAGCGCGGCCCTGGAAATAACAGACGTCTAAGCATTTAACTCGCGAGTTTACATCAACCAGTCAAGCACAAGGACACAACCTGCCAATTCATCAAGCAAGTACGTGATTAGGCAAGTAAGCAGTTAGTGATTTATCATTCGGTTCTACCGAGGGGTGAAAATGGAAGTGACACAAGATAGAATAGCGAGTTTTCAAAATCGACAAAATCCAAACTTGTGACCATTTCCATCTGTCAGGAGCTTGTCCATAAATCCGCTAATTATACCTGTGTGCTTATTTGGGGCACGCTAAAATGGCGCGTTCCGGAGAGAGGCGTTTGTATTACCTGTCGATTCCGCAGCTGCTGTCCTGTTCTGTCAGCGCCTCCTCTTCAGCCATGTCCACGCCGTCCACCAGGGAGGTGCGAACATTGGAGACCACGTCCTGCGCACAGACACAAACCAACACGATGGAAGGTGTTTAACGGACACAAGCCAACATGATGGAAGGTGTTTAACGGACACAAACCAACACGATGGACAGTGGAGAGCACGATGGTATAGGTGACTACGATCTGCCTACTGGAAGTGAGGAAATTCTCCATGCTGTAGGTACCTAACAAGACCATTGCGGCAGCTGGAAGTACCGGTACTTACGTTGGGGATCCCTGAGAGGGTGGCGTCTGGCAGGCAGAAAGCGTTCTTCCCAATGGCTGCCAGGGAGTCGGTGTCGATCTGACTAGCCTGGGCGTTACTGTGGGGAGGCAACGGCAATCAACAAACAAAAAACAAACAAATAAAATTCAGCAGGCCGGTTTCAGGAATATGTGCTACTTGACAAAGGCTGGGAAAATTATTTCCTTGGGTGGTTCGCAAAAACATATTTGTCTACTCACGCAGTCATCTTGCCGAAGAGCTCCTGAATTTTGGTCTTTTTGTCCTCCGTGAGGCACTTTGGCGGGCAGTTCTGCAGGTTCTCCAGGGCAGTCTTGGCCCCGGAAGCGTCGACCCTGTCCAGAACCGCGTCCTCAGCACCGCAGATCAGGTTCCCCAGAGTGGCCATGTCAGCCTCACCCAGGTCCCCGCTCGTCTCCTTGCCCTGCAGGAACATCGCAAATGTTCTCAGCATTTCATGAGGCACAGTTCGGTCTGTAGTGTTGCAGTTCAGCCTGTCATGTTGCAGTTTAGTCTATCATGTTGCAGTTTAGTCTGTCATGTTGCAGTTTAGTCTGCCATGTTGCAGTTCAGTCTGTCATCTTGACGGTTCAGTCTGTAGTGTTGCTATTGTATCTGTCATGTTGCAGTTCAGTCTGTCATGTTGCAGTTCAGTGTGTTACCAAGCAAGAACAGGGTTGGAATCATGGATATCTGTGCATGGAAATTATTGCTGTTAATTACGTGAATAATTCCGAGAGAAAAAACACTTCCCACAAACTTACCAGACACCTGAGCGCGTTCCTTGCGTGCTTCTGCTGCCGGATCCCCTGCGTGTTGAACAGGCGGTCAGAACCGGCAACTTTCTGGGCCACGGCTCCGCACAGGCCGGCCGGAACGGCATCTAGGCTTTCTGTCCTGGAATATGGAGACAAATAAAGAGAGATGAGATTTAAAATTACGTAAAGTAGCAAGGCTGCGCTTGTTGAAATCATGCAGTTATAAGGGAAGGCCTTCTACACTTATACATCCATGTAGAAACTGAACACAGACAAATCATCCAAGATGTACCATCAACACTTGACGGACCCGTGGCTTTTTTTTTTTACTTTTTTACTTTTTAACAGCAGAGGAATCGAACTGATGATGACATCCAGTGAACACTAGGCTTTTGCGCGCTACCTCTGTGTTAAACGTTTTTGGCGACGCCTCAGGGGCGGATCTAGCTGAGAACAAAGACTTACGACACGTCAGGCATGACGTCAGCGGGAATGGTGTCCAGATCTGTCTGGGACATCTGGTCGAAGGCGGAGATAATCTCGGTTTCCAGCCGCTTCGCCATCTTCCTGTTCTGTGGGGAAAATTACAAACACGTATCTGTATCGGTATATCAGTACGGCGTCAGGATGGAAGGAAAGGAAAACATCATGGAGAGAGATGCCTACAGCCGCTGTAGTGAGGGAGAAAAACAGGATCAAAGGAGCGCTATGTCAACAGGGAACCGACATTTCAGCGCTACAATTAATCTACAGCTATAAAACGTGGCCAAGACTGAGCAGAGATGTTGTCTCAATTAGAGATTTAGATGTTAGTTCCACACCTCCTGATCTCTAGCCACAGGCTGCTGCTAAGATTGGTTAAAGAATGATATGATGAAAAAGCAAGACAACAAGCCCTCTGCTAACATTTATATATATTTCATTATATTATACATCATTATATATATATATATATATATATATATATATATATATATATATAATAATAATAAAGATTACAAGCCCTCCCTCACCATGGCTGCGCCGAAGTCCGCCTGGTCAGACATGGCGCCGATGACTTCTGCGAAGTTGTCGTTAGGGATGAGATCGAGCACGTCCTCCCCCGCCCCGGCAATGGCGTTGCCCATGGATCTGTGGGAGACATGAAGGACCCGGATTAGAAATAGCCAGCTGTTTCCATGGCAACGGAGTGGTCTTACCTTATTTTGAACCTCGTGACTGAGAATGAGAATGGATTTTACTTAGTTTTGAACCAATTAAGAAAACCCAGATGTCACTAATCTCCAAGCAGATCTTTTGGTGGGGGCAAGACAGTGTAGGGGAAATGCACACAGACTGGCCAATTTGATAGTCTTACCCCCCACCAAAGATCTGCTTGGAGATTAGATGTTACTGCTGTATTTACAAGGACAAAGCGGCCAACTCACATCACAGTGTCCCTGTCCAGCTCTCCGCTCAGTGTCGACGCCATCTTTTCATACAGATACGTGGCCTGTGGAGAAACGGAATCAAATATCGGTCTGTCTGTCTGTCTGTCTACATGTACAACTTTGATTGGCACAAATCAAAGTTTATTTTTGATTGAGTTGTAATAAAGAAAAGGCTCTCTCGGACGTACCTGAGCACCACTCAGTTGAAGGCTGCTGTACTTGCTGTAGTCTCCGTTGGCGATATCAGCGGCGATTTCGGTTTCGATGTCTTTGAATTCCTTAAGAGGAAGGGCGTCGACAAAAGCGTCGATCTCTCCGTTTCCCAGCTGGTCGAGCAGGTTCCCGTTCCGGGCCTGGGGAAGCAACATGGATCTTCTCACTCTTACCGCCCGATTAATGTGGGTATTTTTAACGTGCTTGGGGTAAGACTCTCCATTTAAAACACGAGACGTCCGGCGTAACGGACAATGTACCGTCCGAATGATTGGAACCTTTCCAGTGGTGCGAAGGTCAAGTAGACGAAAACGGATTTGAACTCTTGGATTTCAGGTCCAGAGACAAGTTAGATATGGTACTGAGCAAGTGATCTATGATACTCTATTCAGATTGTTCACATCATTGCGTAAAATGGCATTTAACTGGGTTCGACCATATGCAAGGGTTCTATTGACCGGACTCACTAATCCCTTGGCAGGTTGAGAAAAACTCTGGTAACACAATTTGCAAACAAAACCATTACCATGACAACATGGATTGGACACAGCACGTATGCGCCATACAGGCGTTGCCATGACAATGCAGCTGTTTGCCCATAATTCCCTGTTCTGTGGAAGGGTTTGAGGAAGACCGGCCCACCTTCTTGGCGATCTTCTTGGCTTGTGCGGGGCTCATGTCGCTCTTGGCGCTGGCGAAGGTGGAGATGGCACTGCGGACGTCAGCGTCGTCCATCTGATCCAGCTCGTCCAGGGGCAGCTTGGCGACAAGTTTCCCCAGGGAGGTCACCTGGTTCGGTTGGTGAGATCTCCGTTAGTTATACGTCACGTCTTACCAGACCCATGTGTCTACCTTAGTACAGACGAAGTTCCTGCTGTTCCTACAGAGATACTCGGCAATTATAGCATCTCTAGACGTCCGCACGACCTACTAACACGGCACTCCAAACGTTACAGTTTCCATGTACAACAGTCTGATGTACAACAGACTCACCTGGTTCGGTTGGTGAGATTTCCGTTAGTTACTAGTATACACTTACAAGCACTGATTTAAGTGAACTGATGTACAGCAGACTCACCTGGGCTGCAGAGAAGGCCCCGCTGACGCTCGATCCGGACTTGAACTTGTCGATGACAGTTCTCGCCTGAAACAAGAACATAGTGACGTCAGGGCCATAGAAGTTGAGTCTAGTCAGGTCTTGAGGAGGACCGGGTTTATTTGATCGTCGTCTACGTGCTACGAACCGCATTCAGAACCATGCCTAGTTCTTCAAATGCCTGAATGGGGCAGGCATGGTTCTGTATTCCCCCCTACCCCGATCCAAGAAACGTAGATTGTACGGTTCTGAATAAAGCACGGTTCTGGATAAAGCACTGTTCTGGAAGAAAGCACGGTTCTGGATAAAGCACGGCTATGGATACAACAGGACAACTAATAATGGGCAGACCATCAAGTGTTTTGGAGTGAGTCGGGGTCTGGTAAAATGTCTCTTACCCTGTACAGCAATACCAGAACAAGCAAATTTTTGTTTATTTCTGAAAAACATGTTGCAAGAATCCTACCTCTGCCCAGGAGAAGTCCTCGTCTGCCAGGGTTTCTATGGCGCCCACCACAGCGTCTGCGTTCAGGTTCTCTATCTCTGAAGGCTGCATTTCCGCCAGCGAGCCGACCAGACTGTTCAGCGTGGCGGCCGTGACTGAGGACGGGTCGGCCATCTCCAACGCTAACAGCTGCCGGTCAAGCTGAGGAGGGAAACAACCAAAGGGAACATCAAAATGTGCACAGAAGATTCTACATGTCTCCCTCTAACACAAAAGGTGCTTTACAAGATGCGTAAATCTTACCGCTTCCCTCCTTAACTCTAACCATTAAGAACTATCAATAATCCTAAGACGGTAGCTGTTACCTCTCTCTCCTCCTTAGACGGCCCCCTCATGCTAGCCTGGGTCTCTCCGTCCTGACACACGCGGCTCGACGAGATCGTCTGCTTCATCCTCCTCATGGTGGGCAGGTCCAGCTGGCTCAGGTCCCCGATCATGTCCCCGATGGTCTCGGCTACAGGACCCAGCCTGTCAATCAACGGCAGTCAACGTCAATCATCTAGCTGTTAGGTCTAAGCTACAGGACCCAGCCTGTCAATCAACGGCAGTCATCTAGCTGACAGGTCTAAGCTACAGGACCCAGCCTGTCAATCAACGGCAGTCATCTAGCTGATAGGTCTAAGCTACAGGACCCAGCCTGTCAATCAACGGCAGTCATCTAGCTGATAGGTCTAAGCTACAGGACCCAGCCTGTCAATCAACGGCAGTCATCTAGCTGATAGGTCTAAGCTACAGGACCCAGCCTGTCAATCATCTAGCTGATAGGTCTAAGCTACAGGACCCAGTCTGTCAATCAACGGCAGTCATCTAGCTGATAGGTGTAAGCTACAGGACCCAGCCTGTCAATCAACGTCAATCATCTAGCTGATAGGTCTAAGCTACAGGACCCGGCCTGTCAATCAACGGCAATCATCTAGCTGATAGGTCTAAGCTACAGGACCCAGCCTGTCAATCACGTAGCTACGTTACAGGACCGAGGTCAAAGCTACAGGAACAATCTCGAGGCTGTTGAATGTTAGCCACATGCAGTAACATATAGTAACATGTGAACAAAGCTCAAAAATACTTAAGGCCACCTACATCGCTACAAGGGTTAAGTTGCCGTTGAAGAAATCGATGAGATCCTGTCCTTTCGGCATCCGGTAGGACGCGTCCAGTTTCCGCCTGATGATGTCACTTCCGCCCTCCGGCAGCTCGTCCACGTTTAGGAAGAATCCAGCCTCATATAGGTCAATCAGCTGGGAAAGAAACGGTTTCAATCAGCTTTTGCAGTCAGGTTTTCAATCACATTTCTCAGTTACCTTTTTCATTAACATAAAATAAAGGAGCAACAACTGATCTGACTGAATTTGCGAACATGAGCATGAACAATTGGATTTATCATCCCAAATGAGTGTTTGTAGCTCGTACCGTGTCAGCGGATGCCCGCTCCAGATCCTGGCTCGTCAGACAGTCGGTGAAAGGCCCCAGCTTGGCAAGGTTGTCCACGGTGTCCTTCTGGTCTCCGGCAGCCGAGCGCGCGAAGTCGCACACTTCCTCCCGGGCCTCCGCAGACATCCTACAGTAGCGGCCGCCCCGACCGTTAATCTCCAAGCTGCAAGCAAAACACGCAACAGCCTGCTGTTACAGAGATGCCTGGTGTTACAGAGATGCCTGGTGTTACAGAGATGTTACAGAGATGTTACAGAGATGCCTGCTGTTACAGAGATGTTACAGAGATGCCTGCTGTTACAGAGATGCCTGGTGTTACTGAGATGCTTAGTGTTACAGAGATGCCTGGTGTTACGTATATACAGAGATACCTGGTGTTACAGAGATGCCTGGTGTTACAGAGATGCCTGGTGTTACAGAGATGCCTGGTGTTACAGAGATGCCTGGTGTTACAGAGATGTTACAGAGATGCCTGCTGTTACAGAGATGCCTGGTGTTACAGAGATGTTACAGAGATGCCTGGTGTTACTGAGATGCTTAGTGTTACAGAGATGCCTGGTGTTACAGAGATGCCAGCTGTTACAGAGATGTTACAGAGATGCCTGGTGTTACAGAGATGCCTGGTGTTACAGAAATGTTACAGAGATGCCTGCTGTTACAGAGATGCCTGGTGTTACAGAGATGCCTGGTGTTACAGAGATGTTATAGAGATGCCTGGTGTTACAGAGATGCCTGGTGTTACAGGGATGCCTGCTGTTACAGAGATGCCTGGTGTTACAGAGATGCCTGGTGTTACAGATCAGAGATGCCTAGTGTTACAGAGATGCCTGGTGTTACAGAGATGCCTGGTGTTACAGATCAGAGATGCCTAGTGTTACAGAGATGCCTGGTGTTACAGTAAACAGATTCCGAGATACTCACATAGCTTCCGCCACGCCAGGGCAGTTCTGGTCGCTGTTTTCCCGGAGCCTGTCCAGGTTCTCGGGTGTCATGCCCTGCGGCATGAAGGAGATGGCCTGCAGTTTTTGAGCCATCTCGGCACAGGTGTCGTTCACGTTCGCTTCCACAAACTTCCGCACCAGGAAATCCTGAACATCCGCGCTGATCCCAGGGTTGGGCCGGGCGTCTGGGCCTCCAGACTAGAGGGGAGACTTTACCCCCTTACCCATACTGGGAACACAAGGCAGTCAGAGATGACAGACTTCACCCCCATACCCACACACACAGGGCAGTCAGAGATGGCAGACTTTACCCCCTTACCCATACTGGGAACACAAGGCAGTCAGAGATGACAGACTTCACCCCCTTACCCACACACACAAGGCAGTCAGAGATGGCAGACTTTACCCCCTTACCCATACTGGGAACACAAGGCAGTCAGAGATGGCAGACTTCACCCCCTTACCCAAACACACAAGGCAATCAGAGATGACAGACTTCACCCCCTTACCCATACACACAAGGTAGTCAGAGATGGCAGACTTCACCCCCTTACCCATACACACAAGGTAGTCAGAGATGGCAGACTTCACTCCCTTACCACACACACAAGGCAGTCAGAGATGGCAGACTTCACCCCCTTACCCACACACACAGGGCAGTCTGAGATGGCAGACTTCACCCCCTTACCCATACTGGGAACACAGGGCAATCTGAGGATGTCTATTACAACCCTGAGTTCAAGTTTTTGATTCTAAACAAATCATTGCGGAGTCTAAGTACAACCATAATATAGGCAGTAGAAGTGAACCATGCTTGAACTGTCGATGTGAACTATTTGTAAGTTAGATCTTTTAGCCATTACCCATTCTTTGTCCTTTTGGATTCGACGCATTATTAAGACGTACATCAGTGTCAAAGAAGACATGCCAGCTGGATGGATTGTTTGTGTGTTTGTGTGTGTGTGTGTGTGTGTTTGTTTGTGTGTGTGTTTGTTTGTGTGTGTGTTTGTTTGCTTACCTCGGCCGCGTCCTTCATCAGCCCCATCACCTGCTCGAACGTGTCGGTGGAGACGCGGGTTGACAGCAATTCCAGCTGCTCGAAGTTGAAGCCGTTCTTAGCGTTCTTCAGCCAGGCCACGATCTGCGCAGTCTCGATCTTCTCAAACTCCGCATCCTGAAAACAAGCAAACAAACATGGTAATCGGATATGGCACACTTCACGCCTTTACCCAGGATTCTCTGTTCGGGTTCTCCAGCCAGGCCACGATCTGCACGTCCGTGGTCGTATCAAACTCCTCATCCTGGAGACAACAAACAAACAAACAAACAAACAAGTACGGGATAAAGAAAACAAAACGTTGTCAGCGAGTCGTCCTAACTACACAACATTCTAATTCTTCCTTGTTTTAAAACATGCTGGTAGATTGCTTACCACGAGTTGGGTGAGCACGATGCCAGGGATGTTCTTGAACTGCTCCTCGGGAATGTTGTTAATGTCCGCCTCCCCTTTCAGAGCTCGGAGGATCACAGAGTTGGCGGGAAGGGTGTTGATGCTGGAGGAAGGACAGAAACGTTTGAATCGTGGTGTGGCGTAGCGGCAGAGTACTCGACTCGGAACCAAGAGGTCCCGGGTTCGAGTCCTGACATACCACCAATCTTGTGCCCTTGGGAAATGCACTTTATAATTACGACTTTACTCACTTAACTCAAGAGAAAATGAGTAATGTCCTGTATTCGTCTGCGTTGGTAGCGGCATAAAATTTGATAGTTAAAATAAAAGTTGATATAAGTTGAGTGTGCCGCCACCATGTCTAGTCATGAAATGTTGGAATATGTATGTGTGTGTGTTTGAATCCAGCTGCGCGTTTTGTACAATGCGTCTTTTTTTTTATTTCATTTTTTTAAGAAAGACTTTTTAGGATGACTCTGACACTGCTGAGTTGAAAAGAAGCAGTTTAATCATTTCGTCAGTTAGTCCATTAGTTTTTCGTCATCCTCATTGTAATTTCTCTCAAATGTGATCTTACATTTTTGATGTTTAAATAATTCGTAGATATTGTATTAATACAGAAGTTATGTAACTGTACCCAGAAACTGTATGTATCGTTATGTTCATACAGAGACCAGTTCATGTACTTACAATCTGGCAGCTGCGGAGTTCGCTAAAATAGCGTCTGCAGCGTCTGCAGCGGCTGTGGGGGAAACAGAAAAATGTCAGACAAGCGGCGCCTTTTTTTATATCTAGGTTTTACCCAATCCGCAAAATATACAGTTCTTGTAACACTGACGTCATATTAACCCAAACCAGTTTACCTCCGAAAGCGGCTGCAATACCGGCCTTCAGGTCATCGTCCACAGGGGGCGCTGTTGGTCTGGCGGGAACAGCAGGAGCCCCGGGGGCGCCGGGAACGCCGAGCTGCCTCTTCACGCGCGGCACGGCAGCCACCAGGCCTGAAAACACATGCACAGACGTTAGCCTGTCGCCAGGAGGCGCCTCTTCACACGCGGCACGGCAGCCACCAGGCCTGAAAACACATGCACACACGTTAGCCTGTCGCCTGGAGGCGCCTCTTCACGGCAGCCACCAGGCCTGAAAACACATGCACAGACGTTAGCCTGTCGGCAGGAGGCGCCTCTTCACGCGTGGCACCCCCCCTCCAAGAAAAATGGGCTTAATCAGTGGTTATATTATATTAGACTATATGTCCATAGTACATAGAATTAGCACTAGCTTGTACATTGTATATATTCATTGCAAGCTGTGACGTCTTTCCTGTGACCTGTACTGAACCCAGTGGGTATTTGTGTACAATAAAGGTCTTCATTCATTCATTCATTCATATATTCAGTGCCACAGGACCATTCAGCGTCAGATGCTAGAAGTTCAGTCGTGTTGTTTCAAGAGTCCAACCCTGACGATTGTGACACCGCAAGCCGCAAATCCACCTGTAAAGCTTGTTTTACCACTGAGGTTATCTAACCCCCTGGTTTTACACACGCATTACCTTGACCCGCGGCTGGCCTGAACAAAGAGGCTTTGTTTTGCTTTTTTCGTCTCTCCGTGGTCTTACGTTACACGGTTCTATTTCGGGATTCGAACTCCGACACACTGCCACCCTCTATTACACCCTCTCATTACCCTGACCCACGGGTGGTTTCACCCCAAAGGTGCCAGTTGTTCTGCCAGGCTTTGTGTCCCTGGGGGTGTCCGTAACGTTGGTAAGGAGCTCAGGTAACGTAAGCAAAGCGGGATTCAAACCCTTAACCCCTCCGACACACTGCCACCCTCTATTACACCCTCTCATTACCCTGACCCACGGGTGGTTTCACCCCAAAGGTGCCAGTTGTTCTGCCAGGCTTTNCCCGCGGCTGGCCTGAACAAAGAGGCTTTGTTTTGCTTTTTTCGTCTCTCCGTGGTCTTACGTTACACGGTTCTATTTCGGGATTCGAACTCCGACACACTGCCACCCTCTATTACACCCTCTCATTACCCTGACCCACGGGTGGTTTCACCCCAAAGGTGCCAGTTGTTCTGCCAGGCTTTGTGTCCCTGGGGGTGTCCGTAACGTTGGTAAGGAGCTCAGGTAACGTAAGCAAAGCGGGATTCAAACCCTTAACCCCTCCGACACACTGCCACCCTCTATTACACCCTCTCATTACCCTGACCCACGGGCGGTTTCACCCCAAAGGTGTCAGTTGTTCTGCCAGGCTTTGTGTCCCTGGTGGTGTCCGTAACGTTGGTAAGGAGCTCGGGTAACGTAAGCAAGAGGCTGAATAGGCGCCGCCGGTACCAGGCCGCCGTGAACGCGCGAAATGTGAGGAGGGTCGCGGTAAAGGAGTGACAAAGGAAAACGGGCGTGTCCCGGGCATTCTCACAAACAATCACCTCGTGTAATTTACCCCCTGCATCACTACAGTTGAGTCTCCACCACTCCTTTTGCAGGCTGAATAAATCGTAGAAATCGGCCTAAAAGGGGAGGTAGCCGACAAGAGAAACTCCATTTGCCAGCACGTGCAGGCCGATGGACAGTCGATGGCCGGCTACCTTCTCTGACCAATTGTTTCCCCCATTTAGGCCGATTTCTACGATTTATTCAGACTGCAAAGGAGCGAGTCTGGTGGAGACTAACTACAGTGATCCAGAGACGCTTTTTCCAGTATATTTCATTATTTTTCCAGTATATATATACGTGCGACTGCTGATATAGTCGCTTGTTTGTCGAGTTAAGACAAAGTAAGGTTCTGGCATGCGTCAGCGGCGACTGGGAACGTTCCTTCTCACGGTTTGTGAGCTGTCAGCATCGCTGCGGGATTATGGCGTTACCGAACGCAGTGGAGCATGGAACAACCACAACCCGTTACCATAGCAACGCACAGCCACAATCATGCAGCACAAAGCCACGCCCGTTACCATGGCAACGCACAGCCACAATCATGTAGCACAAAGCCACGCCCGTTACCGTGGCAACGCTGATGACGTCAATAGACAAATTGGGAATATTCGGCAACCTTGTGAACAGATTTGGGCCTCCATTGTTGGGTTTAACTGAGTTTGTTTGACCCACAATTAGTGTACATTGTAATGTAAATGTAATTTTGATATTTAAGATGCAAATGTGAGCAAAATTTGAATCTCGTTATGCTAAATGTGTGAAATATGTTGACTGTGCAGTCGTTAATGTTTTTAAAAGAAATGATGTACATCTCTGAACGCAATTCAGCTTCTGCTGCAAAGTTCGTGATTTTAACAATAAACCATTTTTGATTGATTGATTGACATTGTTGCTACACATGACGCAAAGGATAACAAATGCAAAGAATAAGAACACACTGAGAATTAACAATAAACAAGTAGTATAAGAGCTAACTTGACGTGACGTCTATATAAACCAAAGACAAAATGGTTAGTTGTCAGTGTGACGTCAGAGTTTTTTATGAATAGAGAGTCGAGCGTACTCTTCCCTCTGAGCGTAATTTCCCTGTGAAAATCTACCCTGTTACTTTAATTTGAACAGGGACCTACGAACACTTGCTGATCCCTGAAAACCGTAGCCTTTTCGGGAGGCGGTTGGATAGAGTAGAAATTTGCCAATTAGAGAGATAGCATGCCAGGGGAGTTAGGTCGGCTGGAGAACAGTTTGCCGCTCGGACCAACTCCCTCGGCATGTTTAATCTCTCTATGTGACCGATTTCTACTACTCTTTCCAGCTGCCTCCAGAAGCCCGGTTGAGGCAGCTATGAAAACCACGCTTTGATCGGAAAAGCCGGCCGTTTTACTGACAAACTGTGACCAGAGCTGACAGACCCGTCGGACGGGCTGTTATCCCGCCGACTTGCAGCGGATTTAGTGGAATGAAATACTCTCAAATCTGGGGGCGTCACACCAGCTGGGGTTCACACGCGCAACTTTCTACTCAAAAACATTTGTGAAAAAAAACTTCCGCACAAGTCACGAAATCTGCGTTTAGAATTACGAAAGTCTGGGAACGACTTTCCTCCCCTCACCCAGGTGAAAATTAGCACCTAGCTTCGGTTAGGGACGTCCCTCCGTTAGACGCTAAACGTAGGTTCCGGTGTTTTTATATCAAGGTCAAGGAGAATCACACTTCGAACGCGTTTAAGATTCCACCACACTTGTAGAGGCCCTTCCCAATGTGATCATGAGTGGATCAAAGTCATTTAGGTCTAACTTGGAGGTAGAAAATGTTCACAAGCAGCCTTTAAGTTAGTAAATGACGTCAGTTAGTCCCTGCGCAGACTCCTCGGTCTCAGCGTGTCCAGCTTGTCTCCAGCATTTCTAGCTGGGCAGTAAACCAGAGTAAGGTCAGGTTACTGGACCAGCGTGTTTTCTCCAAGAGCCAGAAACATCCATGCTGGAGGCAAGCTTTACTCCTTACGAAAAGGGCATGCAGGCCCTCCTATAGCTAGATAGGCAGGGTTCTGGATATGGTTAGTGGCGCGCTTACCTGTGGCGATGATGAGCCCGAACAGCACAGCGGACCTCATCCTCAGGTCAGCCTCAGGAGTTCTAAAGTCGCGGGGCGGGAAGGGAGGAGCCGAAATCAGCGACGTCAGCCCGACGTAAGGTCGATGTGTCGTTTCTGTAGGACGGTCCGGGTTCTATGGAAGGACGGGCGAACCTGGCGGAGGGATTACATCACGGCACAGTCCACTTCAACACCTGCAGGGGGGTGCAGAAAATACGTTTTTCTTAACCATCATCTTCCCAGTTTCCTCACACGACGCTCGGACCTGCAGGATGGCCCCAGTAGCCACATGGCGACGGGCGCGGCTTACATCCCGTGATGCACAGCAAGTAGTTTTATTCCGGTAAAGTCTAAGATTCGTGTCCCCCCCTCCAAGGCTCCGGAGTGTACCCGTCCCGGCAGGTGACAGGAGTGTCGGGTACGCATTGTCTCCCGTGAAACCCGATCCGCCGTGAAGGTCGGGGTGAAGCCGCGAAGCGTGCCGGTTACCAAAACAAACATCGGGCTCACCAGGGCAGGGCAAGGTCAATACACGCACGGGCACTCTAGATCTCTCTCTCTCTC